TAAGTTGTGTATCTCATATCATCTGCTACCCACCAAATGAACCTGATTTTGTCAGTTGTGACATATCAAAACGGACTAATGGTAGATCAGAAGGAGCTTCCTCCCTATATATACAGTCAAAATGTGTATGTTTATTTAGTTAGAAACTAAATGGTCAACAATGTAAAAAATTGTTGTTGGGTTGATCATACTGTATTACAAAAAACACAAGACAAATGAATGAAGACAGACATTGGGACATAGCATCAACACACATGACGTTTAAAGGACACAAATAATTTAAGAAACATAGAGTGACTTGATGAAAGATTAAACTTGTAAGAGTTTAAGATTCAATATGGGGCTATACGTGCTGAAAACACTCACGGCACTAAAGTTAAATTGGTAATTCAGTTCAAGTTTGACAAGCTGTTTACTGCATTGCATAGCAACTGAACAGTGCAGCTGCTATTTTAAGAGTAATACAGTATTTCTTGTAACCGACTGTTCATATTTTTTGACAGATTTTCATACTTTGTACTCACCTTTGAATTTTATCGTATTGTAGACGAACATTTTCATTTTCTCTTTAGTCAATCTTTTACCTTATTATTGCCGGGCTGATGCAGCTGTTCTGTGTTGGCAAATTCATAATATGGATATGATGAAGTGGCGGTCATCTTCAAATGTACTGTATGACCATTATCTTTTAAAGTTTATAAATGAACATATAGTGCCACAGCCAAACACAAGAAACTACACTGGCAATATTGCATGACATTATAAGACATTTTGTCATTTTATCCACCCACTATGTCAGTTGAAAATTAGGAGTTCATTCTTTATTGACAAAGCATAAAAACAAAATTTTTTAAAGCCTGAGGACAGTAACATGTGTCCGTTAGTTGATCTGTTATTCCTACACATTGGCCCAGACAGAGCTGGGTCAACAATAGAATACCACAGATGGTAGTGGTTCTCAATCTGGCGTCCGGGGACCCCCAGGGGTCCTTGAGGAGGTTCCATATTTTAATTGAACTATTTCTTAATCAGGGGTGGACCTAGAAGGGTAAAAAAAAATGCCTGGCCAACCCAGTTTGTTGTGAAATACTGTCCAATTTAAGACATTATTAAAATAACGTGTTTAAATGTGTCAAGTGGAAATTGACACATATAATTTAATGATCTGTTATGGTCACATTTCAGACTAGGTGATGGCTTTAAGTTCAATAAAAAAAGCATTGTATTTAGAAATATATAGAATACGTAATTGTTTACAATTAAATCAATATATTTCTGCCACCCCTTGTCTCCACACCATCCTCTGGCCGCCCTATTAATATTTCTCTATCCACCACTGTATTTAATTAACTAGAAGTTAGCCACGTGAGAGAATGTATAAGAATGACTACTCTGTTTAAAGATTTCATACGATTTACTGTTAATCTGCCAATTTAAAGTATAGACAGACAGACAGACAGTAGTATAACCAAATCATATAAAACCCTGACCACCCTGATCCCTGAGTCTACGTCTTATTAAATACAGGTCTGCGGCCTGATGTTCATTTGGGGGTCCTTAACACAAAAAAGTGTGAGAACCACTGTCCTATAGAGGATAACTCAAAATGCTTCTGGTGACCCCCTGACCTTTCATCAAAGTACTCTTCTTTACCAAAGCTTCACTACATGAAAAGATAGCTCACTTCTACAACGTTTAATGAGCCCATTTATGCTCTTGAGATGAACCCTTTCTGAATTTGGATGGCCATTTCTAACTATAGCACCACCCCAGGATATTCTCCAGCTATAACCTCACCAACAGAGGTGCTGTAAGAACTGAAAAATCACCATTATAATGTTAATTCTGTCCAGCTGCTTTGATATTGTGGGTTATAAACATATCACAGCTCACAGGAGCGCACAGCAGTTTGTTTCTATGGCCAGATAGAGAAAGGTTGTCCTGAGCATTTGGATGATTCAGGACGATGTAATTCTTAAAAAGAAAGAGTGGGTAAAGAAGCAGAGTGTCGGCGGCGCTGTGAGGATGCTGAGGGATGCTGATCCGATCTTCCGGCTCTCTTCCTTCTGCCGGTGCAGGAGTGAGATGCGCATGTGATGACAAAAGCAAACGCAGGACCCGGTTTCTCCCCCCTCTGTCACACACACACACACACACACATATGTATACACACACACTCTGCCATCAAGACTTAGAGAAGATCTACCCCCTCGGGTGACATTCACGGGCTGATCAGACCTGAATAAACCAGGTCTGCTCGGATTTAACCGCACAGAGGTAAGCGTGTGTGTGTGCGGGTGAGCGTGATGACGAGAGAGAGGTTGGCTTATTATCTCATGCAAGACCCCGGACAGTTGGATAGGTCCTCCCACCGGTGTCTGCCTATTTATACGGTTAGAAACGCTGCCGTGGGTCGTGATAACAGGACGCGACTGGGAGATAGAGAGATACATCACAACGCGGTAAGAGATCCTGTTCTTGGCCGGGTGTTGCGGATGCTCGTGAGTGTGTTTGACCTAAATTATGCAATTGATGGGTGACACAGACGCTGTCGCATGCGCTCCTTGTGCCTTATTGGATGCAGGCTGCAAGGACCGCTGCTTAGGAGTGTAGTGGGATGTTTGAGCCAGTGGGTCCATGAGGATGAGGGGTATGATGGAGTGTCAGACTGCTACATCAGTCAGTTGCTCCGGTAGCTTGCGCTGCAGCAGCATTCCACTTATGTATGCACAATTTAGTGCTTTAAAGTAAACCTAATGTTGTAAGTGACCTGCAGGGTGCTCTGAGCAAAAATTAGCCCACATTGCAAAGATGAGGCTGTAGTTGTAGGCCTGTAAAAAAAAAAAACAACAACCAAAAAACCAAAAAACCGCACCTTTCAAACAGAACCTGTACTAAATCATAAAGGATTCATCAATTGAAAAAATAAATCTAACAATCTAACAACAATAATAAGATTTTTGTCATTCTGTTGACCACGGGACATTAAAAGTTTAACATTAGGTGTCATTTGTTTTCCATTGCCAACAATACTCAGTACACTATGTTCTAGAAAAGTATGGTCCGTCCTCTCCACACATGCTGCAAAACGCGCACATGTAGGCGCATGAGAGGGCAGGTAGACGGTACAACAAACCACAAATGAAGTCAACTAACAACAAGAATAAAGTCAACATTTATTTTAATAATCACATTTGAGCTGTGGATGTATTGTGTTTTTCTTTCTCCAGTTTATAGGATCTGCACTGTAACTGCTTTGGTACTGAATGGAGTTTAATTAAAGGTCAAAAACAGAGTAACTCAATCACACAGATTTATGGTTCATGGTTTACTCTTACATTTGTCACCATAATCAAAGATATAAAATTGTGAAACTGGCGTAACAACAGTACAGCACTGTTGTTGCATCATGTAGCTTTTACACCTGTCAAAGCTGATAGATCAGAGCTGGAAAACGAAGTTTGCATTTTCAGGGGGACTGAACAACCAACCTAACCATCCTAAACATATGAAGTGTGATTAAATAATCTTGTTCCATATGCAGATTCAAATGCAACGCACTGTTGAAAAGCTACCAAAAAAGGGAAAGAAATTCTAGTATTTGTACCTTTTAGTTGACACTGTTGTATCATGCTTCGAATGAACTTCCTTGCTGAACTACAAACTTCTGTTTTGTCAACCATATGGGATAACAAAACTATTGTGAATTAAATGGGATCCCCTGACATCCACTTTCTATTTTGGTAAGGTGTGAAAGGTGTGAAAAGTCAAAGTTAAAAAAACAAACAACTGTTATGACTGTAAACACTGTGGGGTTTGTCAAATTGACCAGTGGCATGGAAATACCAGTATGAGCTTGCCAACTGGGGTCATGACATTCTCCAAACACAGTAGGCAATGTGTGGAATCCCAGTGCTTTCACTGAAAAGGGTAAACAAGCCGACAACCAAAGACAACCAGTTGGCCCACAGACACAAGTCAGACGGG